GCCTAATTGTCTTTTTGATGTAGCACGTTCATCTTCCAAAAATAATTTTCTTTCTTCGCGGGCTCATAACGGTTTCTTCTCATTTTTTATTGGCAAATCTCCTTGGACCACCCTTTATTTTCGTGTGCATCAGCTACACCAAGTTGATCAGGAAAAGTGTTTTGAAAGGAGTTACAATGCGACAAGTTGGAAAAATTCTTTATTAAAACCGATATGGATCACCGTACATCACACTAGAGCAACGAATCAAATACACTTAGTAACTGAGAAGATATTAAAGAAAATACATGTACAGATAGACAAACGCACACACACTCATGACTTCATCGTGCAACTACAAAATATTTACACTGCTTTACGAACTTCGAAAATTCGACGTCATTCTTCAATAGAGAAACGAACAGAAGTACTTTCTACGATTCAAGACGGGAACATCATCGAGAAGCTACCGCCGTACTGTTCCTCACTATTTCCCGATGGGTTTGCCATTACGACGACAGAACTCCACAGCCGTGAATCCATCTCATGACTCGTGCGTTCCGTTCCAGAACGCTCACGTCACGACCACGATCTTCTGAAATTTGAATACTTAACAATCTGCAAACACTTACTTGCTAACTCGAAAAAAATGAATTTGAAAATAAAATAGCAATCAATGATCATTGATCGTCTTGCAGTAAAGGTCAGAGATTTTTGCTAGGACGGTTTTTCACGCATTAATTTTTTCACAAGACTATGTAAGTGCCCTATGATATGAATATTTTAAGTTTTTTTAAATGTTTTTGAATCCCTGAGCTCCGCAGATTCCGCGCCACTTGAGCCGCTTCACGCCCAGTCTCTAGCCGTCTGACTCTAGCCGTTCAGCAGAGAGAGCGTAGCGTCGCAGACGGCACCGATGAGAGAACCGTCAATCAGGAATCAATGGGCAAAGAAAGGGTCTCATTTCTAGCGTTCTTAGCCTTTTCTCATGGTTTCTCTTCAACCCTGCACCACTAGCCACCTCTACCTCGATTTCTAATCTGCTGCCTTTTTATAGTTAACCACTCCTTTGAAGCACAATAGTTCAAGTTCCATTCGATCCGAGAAAACATACCTTCTTCTGTAGCATAGTCGCCGACCTCCTTCTGCAGATTTGAAATGGAGGTGAGCGCTTCGGACGAGGTTTCTTCATCTTTCTTCACTAGGCTTGAGTCGAAGAAACCATCATCGAGGGACTTTGTCGAGCATGGCTGGGTTCTAAACAGGCCAGTTGACGTTGGCAGTGAAAAAATCATAGACCACTGAAAAATTAAAAGCATCTCTCGTGACTGACCTTCGGTCCTCGTCATCACTGTTTGGTCGACCGCTGTCAACGGTTGGTGACGAGAGAAAACATGATTTCTCAACGGAGAGATGTCCACCGGATGGTGAAGATGGAGCACTGAAATGGCGCGTTGTGTCATTTAGGCCATTTTACTTCCTATAGTTACGGACGGAAGGTCAATATGCCGTTCACTAGTTCTAGCTCATTCAGTCACGTTATTCACCTGTCATCATCATCAGTCGAGTAGGTGAGGCGTACAGCAGCCTGTAGGAAATCTCTTTCGGATTCATCCATCACTGGGAACATCACAGATGGGTCCTGAAAAGAAAGTATTAATAAGGAAGAATGGCGTACAGTACTTAGTTATTAAAAGCCATGATTGTTGGTAGAAATAGGTTTCTGCAGGTAATTAGGGTGCGGTCGTACTGGGCGAATTGATGGCGGTTGCAAAAGCAAGAAACAGGAAACTGTCAGAAGTTCGCCGAGTATGATCGCAGTCCAACACGTCGTCTGACAAAGAGTCCCCGAACCAAACCCAGTTCCCGACTATGAACACCGAGTACAAAAACCAAAAGTCGCTGCCAAAACAAGAACGGTTCAGCTACCCTTATTTTGCATATTCCTGAGCTTAAAGGTCTTCCAAAAACAAGTAGGAGAAGGGACTCCAGACTAAAAGTAAAATAAATGACCCGCGCAGCTAGAGGCGTACCCCCTCCTAGACTGCCGCGTGGCCTCAAAGCAAACGCGGAGGTTTACTCTCAAAACGGCTGCCGGAGGCGATCCCCAGGCTATGCTCTCAAACAAAGGAATATCCGCGCTAACTTGTAGGCGTTGCCCGTAACAGGGAGGTCGGTTCGAGTCCCGTTGGACAAAGTCGCTGTCGCAACAACGGCAGCCATTCTTGTAAAAAAGAAAATAGATTTCAATGAAGGTTAATTAATTCGAGAAATCCATGTAGAACCTATATAAAAAGTGCTTCTGTAAATTGTACCATTTTCTTAGAACATCCGATTGGGCCGGACGATTTATCTTCTTTTTCTGAGTGAGTGAAAATAAAAATACGAAAAAATACCTGTTGAAACCAGGAGTGCGGTCCTTCCACGACCCCCCCCCCCCCCCCCCCCCCCCCCCCCCCCCCCCCCCCCCCCCCCCCCCCCCCCCCCCCCCCCCCCCCCCCCCCCCCCCCCCCCCCCCCCCCCCCCCCCCCCCCCCCCCCCCCCCCCCCCCCCCCCCCCCCCCCCCCCCCCCCCCCCCCCCCCCCTTTCAGAGCGCCTACTGAATGAGCGAAACGTTGGAGTCGATTTCACTGAAATGATTTGTCTTATTTAGCAGGAAACACCTGAATTTATTTCTCATCTATGCAAGTTCATATATTAATTTGCTGGTTAGATCGACGGTAATCGATAAAATTAAAATAATTTAGGAGGAAAATTAAACAGCATTATGAAATGTCTTGACTGGATCCAAGTCATATTTGCTAAGCTGGTCGTGATAGCAACGATTTGGACGACTAGATAGTAGTTTGTGTTCCCAAAAAAGAGTACGTAACGTCACATTAGAAGAAAGCACGGAATAGAAACTCACTAATGCACTTTCTTTCTGTATCCCAATGGTGAGTTCTGCAAGGCCTCGATAGAGATCGGGTTATGGACGGCAGTTTGTGGTCCATCAGGAGTCGGTTCGCTAAGCAGTACCTTTCGTCGTGGCTTTGGGCGTGGTTGCTCAGGTTCCACCGTTGATAGTTCCACCATTGAGCGCTGAAACAATTCCAACCTACAGTGAAAAATTCACCCAGCAGTGTATTTTACCTATAATAGCTAGCAGAAATTCAGCTCGTGACTCGGTCAGCTCGCACGCTCGTCCGTGCTCTTCTATCAGCTATTCTGATTTTGAATAAAGTATTGGAGCCCCTAGACTTTGGCGACGGGACTACTACCACTGCCGTGATGCTAAGATTTGCAACTGGCTCTTGGCGAGGGTTTAACTACCGTAATTAATAAACTATACTGGGAAATAATAGAACCCGAGCTTGAAAAAACATATACGTACCCATTATGCTCACCGAGGTTTGGGTGTCGGCTTCAACCAGGAGATGCTGCTCCGATGGGGAAGTCCTGCGACAAACGAGGTACTTCGCGATGCGTGGAGGGGAGGAGAAGTGATCACAGCTCACAGGACCATCAAATGTAATTCCTATTAAGTGCTTCAATGATAGGTTTATGGTGCCACACGGCGAGCGTGTAACTCTGCGGACGGCGACAAAAAATGACCCCGTCACGATATGTGCCGCAATTCTCTCTGGGAAATGGGAAATGACCCACCTTGCGATCCGCTGAGGAGTTGATTCACTTTTCGGTGGAGAAAGTGGTTCACGGACTACTCGAAACGCGGATCGCTTCGATGGGATATGAGGAATGACCAATGAGGGAGACGGCAGCTGAAAGTAGTTTGCTGACGTTGGATAATGGAAATGGGAAAGAAGCGGGAGAATGCTTGAAAGACAGCAAAATTTGGACCAAAAAATTTCCAAGAAATTAAAAATCCAATGAATGCGGAATGTAACATCAGAAGGAGTTCGTAAGATAGACAAGAACTTCCTATATTCGGTAGGGTCAGAATAGCTTGAGACAACTGGAAATACGACTCACTTTTGGGCATGGCTGATCCTCGTCGTCGGTCGATTGGAATAGACGTGGTTGTCCGGGTTCTAAACACCACTTATTCAAATCAGAAATAATTCCGTTTTTAAATTTGTTTCCATAAAATTTCATATCGAGTATATCCTCGGGTAAAGCGGAATAGTTTGACAAGGGACCTAAACAGCAGATTGCTGTCTGGGGTTCTTGTTGGAAAGTTTGAAACAGCCTTGCGCCATTTCAGTCTGCTTTCCGCTCGATTGGTTTTCTTTATCGGTAATTTTTCCAGACCAATAACTCATGAATCCAATATGTCGGCAAAGAACACGACTTCAAGCCTGATTGGGAAAAATATGAAAGCCTTTTGGAATGAGGTTCGGACTTATAAATTCCTCTCACCATCACTGGTCGACCATGAACCACACCTACTTCCATTTTTCGATAATCCCTACACTGCCTGTGCCTTTAAGTTCTCTGCTTATTGCCTTATTAGTGCATGGAGTTAATATGAAGATTGTGTTCATTAGGAAGGTTTTCGCCAAAAAAAACCGTTTCATGGAGTTTATTTATTTATTTACAGTAGCGGTCAAAAGTGTTCGCCGAAACGGTTTTCCGTGCTTCTCTTTTTTTGCCAGAAAAAAAATCAATGGTGGCCTCGAAAATTTTTTCTTTTGAATATCCTCTTTAAACTTGAGGATATAAAAACACTAGAAAACATAGTATATCAATCTTTGGAGGGCGTTGCTCAAGCGAGAAAAAATAATGCACTAAAAATCGTTTCGGCGAACACTTTTGACCGCTACTGTATATGCTATACGGTAGATGCGCTACCGTACTTTTTTTTACATTTTGCTACATAAATTCACTCAGGGCCTCCAGCTGCCCTGCCCACTACCCTTCTACGCCAGCCTGTTACTTGGTGGGACATGACTGGGAGCAAATGTCACAGCCAAATTGTAGTTTTCGATTTTTTACAGTGTAAAAAGCGACAATGGTCAATAAAAGTGCGTTTTCAACACTAGCCGAATGAGCGTGTCATCTTGTTTCAACATCTATGACTTGAATTTTAGATGAGCCAATGGGTCGCTACTTTGCTATTTTATCACCACTACAAAGTTGAAGTGGACAGCTGTGATTTTTGGAGTGCGCCATGCAACCGGCTTTCATTCGAAATTGCAAATGCGAACAAATGCGCATCCAGCCCTCTTACGCTGATTACTTCTTCTATAGTGCTGATGGTGAATAACTGAAAGGAGTGGGTTCAGAAAAAAGTGGGCCACCTTCAGCCTTCCTACCGTCCGCGTCGGTGTCGCTCAGTTGCCAAATAGCAACCCATGGGTTGGTCCCCTAGTAGGCCAGAAAGTTACGACCAAGTTTACTCCGAAATGACAACTATTCAAATATCCCTTTTTCCAGCGTGCTGCTTTCTAAGAGAAAAGGTAAAATATCGTTTTCGTAGCAGCGAAAATCGTTTTGTACCACATAAAGTGGGTCACCGTAATAAAGAATGCAGTGACGCAGTGGTTTCTAAAGAGACTAAGGTAAAATTACACCCTACGTTCCAGTGTTGACGTACAACCACCAGACCAAAACATGGTATTCAGGGGCAACTGCGCAGTATTACATTTTAGAAGGTCTGCAATGACATCATAACAGGAAACTAATCATAGATGTGTTGGAGTAGAGTTTATACTGTGCAAAAAGTGAAAACGTACCGATTTTTCGCTGTCATGCAGCACGTCAGTTTTTACGTATAGCTTTTTGCTGGCTTCAAGAAGCTCAGCTGCAGTGGGACTGCTCGCCAAAGGGCACTTCATCTGAAAGTTTTAGCGGATAAACCTTGGACAGAGACTTTTAAAGGCACGCACAATGTCGCGACAACACGTGAGAGGAACTGATCGCTCAACGAGAAAACAGAGACAAGGACAGAAACCACCGATGACGAAGTGACTATCACGTTGCAACCGTTGCGGTTTCGCCAACGCGTTCAACATCACGCGATTGGGCTATATTTGGCCCTGTTGCTTATTTACGGACTAATGAAGCATCCTGTTCTGTGAAAACATTCCGGTCACGTTTGGCGTTTGATGTTTCTCATTATACGGACAGGAAACGACGAAGACCACTCAAAATGAGTGGCCCAATTCCTGCACGCGCGGATTCACGCCGGTACAGAAGACCTGAAGGCACATACGAAATGCTCACCTTTTAGAAAACTAATCAGCCTAACAAAATAAGCCAGTGCTCATAGCTCGAAAACGGATAAACGAAAACTGAAACGTAATGTCCAGAATTGTCCTAAGGCGATATAAACAGTACAGCAGTCAATTTAAATGGAATCGCGCAGTCCTGGTGAATAATAGTCTGAAACAAACCACAGTTAGGTTATTTAAGAAGTTTCTGATGGGGCGGAGTTTTGCCTACGGTAGAAATGAATCACTCATTCTGCAAAAATGCTGAGAATTGAAACACAAAGCGAAAGAAAGTGGCTGTGGATTAGCGCATAGAATAGCGCTGGGATAAAGTGTAATAACAAGAGTTGGTAGATCGAATGGTTTCAAATGCACTATCACGCCTGAGCGAAGAAGCGCCATGCATAAGCCCCATTGCAAAACCCTATAGCTAAGATAGGTTTCGGAATACAGTAAGACTCAAGCCAAAGGTTCCACCTTTCAAACAGTTCTGACCTAAAAGACAGATTGGCTTCCCTGGGCGGGTCTATTGAGCCCTTGTCGTTTCTTTACGATACACCTACATGAGCAAATTCGACTTTAGATAAAGCATAGACAACTAAGGTTATCGCCGAGCGCTTGGGTCGTAGGCAGCGCTTGAGCGGTCACATGGAAAGACCTCAAAGGACAAAATCAGTTCACTGCGAAGTGATACCTGAGCACGTCGCTTATAAGAGAGTAGTTGAAGGGTGGGGCCCGCTGCTGATGTGGGCCTCAAGTCTCAATCATGTCGTGGTTTTGATAGCGATTCGGCCGTTTCCCACAAAAAGAATCATATCTACATTACAATTAATAGGTGTATCGCATGCTATTGGACGAGTGAATAACAAAAACTATCCAGGAACAGGGCTTTCATGTGAACTGATCTAGATCTGGCTACGATCGAAGACCGTTCTGAATAGGCGTCACAAAGAGCGAGAATTACACGTTCAAGAAGTTGCGAGTGTCTGGAAGACACTGGTAAGAAAAGTGTATTTGTCTGAAAATCCTTCAATTGTAAGCCGAAAAGGATGGTCTCCAAACCCCGAAGGAAGGGTCAATCAAGTTGATGTGATTATAGTTATATCCTCCTTTGGCTTTATTTTATCCTCCTAAAAGATAGCATTCACTGAAACGAATGTGTTACA